CTGTCTATCCCCCTCTCTCTTGGCTGGCCACCTCTCCCTCCCCCTTGGCTGGCAAATTCACCCTCATCACGGTAGTCTTCTTCTCTGTTCCTTCCAGGCCACCAATGAGGTGATTGGACGTGTTCCCCTGGCCACTCAGAATGAGATGGAAGCCGCAGCAAAATCCTGTGAGCGGGCCTTTCCTGCCTGGTCCGAGACCTCCATCCTCCACAGACAACAGATCTTCCTGCGTTACCAGCAGCTCATCAAGGATAATCTGGTAGGCGCACCGGCCGGCTCTGCGCCATGTTGGGGTTCTCTTTGCGGCCCCCAAGTGACTCCTGTGTTTTCTCATTCCCTTTCAGAAAGAGGTGGCCCGTCTCATCACACTGGAGCAGGGGAAGACTCTTGCCGATGCAGAGGGGGACGTGTTTCGTGGACTACGTAAGACTCCGTAGAAATGAGCCGTATGTTCCGCGGGTCAGAATGGGTTGTCTGTAGTTACATTGTGACCTTTGTCGTTTTCACAGAGGTGGTGGAGCACGCCTGTAGCGTGACCTCACTGATGCTGGGTGAGACGCTCCCTTCCCTCACAAAGGACATGGACATTTACACCTTCCGCCTTCCCCTGGGCGTCTGTGCTGGGATTGCACCCTTTAATTTCCCTGCCATGATCCCCCTGTGGATGTTCCCAATGGGCATGGTGTGCGGGAACACTTACCTCATGAAGCCCTCTGAGAGGGTTCCCGGAGCCACAATGCTTCTGGCCCGTTTGTTACAAGACGCCGGAGCACCTGATGGGACGCTGAACATTATTCACGGGCAGCATGCAGGTAAGCGGAGCAGTGAGATGGCTTGTAGAACTTTATCCGCATATGACATGAGCTGGAGTTCCAGCAGAACCGAGGCCGGCTATCATGTCCTGAGCAGGCCCGGATTCCCCACAAGGCCACCGAGGCCCGGCCTCGGGGCGGCAGGGCGCAGAGGGGCGGCAGCCGTGTCCTTGTGAGGAAGTTGCCCTCTCTACATTCAGTCTGCTTTGTACAAGCCGAGCTAAATGTAGAGTGAGGCGGCCGATTGTTCGTTTATATGTGAACTCGGCGATGTTGCCGAGATCACATGTAAACAGTATTAAAATTTTTCACAAAATATGACATAAAAAGGTGATTAAAAGTAAGAAAATTAATTATAAAGAATAAACAATAAGCAAAAAAAAATTATAAAAAAGTAAATATGATAAATAAAAATCTAAAAAAAATGAAATTGATAAAGTAATTAAATAAAAGGGGATAAAGTTAAAAAAAAAAATAAAGAAACAGTAAAAAGAATTGACACTAACCCTCCCGCACTGCCATCTGGTTGCCATTCTCCATTGATGGGAAGGGGGGGGGAGGGGAGCGCATTGCAGAAACTGGCCTTGGGGCGGCAGGGAGAGTAAATCCGGCCTGGTCCTGAGGCTGAGTTTAGGGATGTGGTGAAGCAGAGTGGGAATCGGCCAGTGAAGCTGTTTATGAGAGTCTGTGGTCGTAGAACTCTCAGGATTCACCTTTCTTTGTATCTTTTCAGCCGTGAATTTTATCTGCGACCATCCATCCATTCGGGCGATCAGCTTTGTGGGCTCCAACCAAGCCGGTGAATACATCTATGAGAAAGGCTCTAAGAATGGAAAGCGAGTCCAGTCCAACATGGTATGACCTCTTGGGTGGAGAGGGTTGGCCAAGCTCCCGTAGGCATTGATGTCTGATGGCGTGGTGTCTTACAGGGAGCCAAGAACCACGGGGTCGTCTTGCCCGATGCCAATAAAGAGAACACCTTGAATCAGTTGGTGGGAGCGGCTTTTGGTGCGGCGGGACAGCGGTGCATGGCGTTATCAACTGCAGTTCTGGTCGGAGAGGCCAAGAAATGGCTGCCGGAACTGGTGGAAAGGGCAAAGAAGTTAAGAGTGAATGCCGGTAAGAGAACAGTGATGTCTGGTTGTGTCTCCGCCATCTTGTACCTGGAACATGAAGCCACACTTTGCGTCGGTTCCTATTGTGTACGTCAGGGGGGGTCTCAAACCTCCGGCCCTCCAGCAGTGGGTGAAACTACAAATCCCATGATGCATCTCTCTTCGGGAGTCGTGGCTGTGAGAATCTTGCAATGCCTCATGGGATTTGTAGTTCCACCACAGCTGGAGGGCCGGAGGTTTGAGACCCCTGCGTGTACGTGATTCATGTAGTGTCACTGGAACGGCTGACTCTGTGGCTGTGGTTTTGGGCCCCACATGACCACCACCACAACTGCGGCCTGTACTTCATGTGCGTGCAATCATTCTAATATGATGCTCACCTCCCTCTGGATTCAGGGGACCAGCCTGGGGCCGATTTGGGGCCGCTGATCAGTAAAGCTGCGAAGCAGAGAGTGTGCAGCCTGATAGAGACCGGTGTAAAGGAAGGGGCCACTTTGCTTCTGGATGGCAGACAGGTGAAAGTGAAGGGCTATGAAGATGGCAACTTTGTGGGACCCACGGTTCTCTCCAATGTGACGGTACGTGTACGGGAAGTCCAATGTACATATCCGGGGCATTGCAGGAGGGCGATATACCACGATGGGGCATTGTATGGATCCGGGGCATTGTGGGAGGGGCATTGTATGGATCCGGGGCATTGTGGGAGGGGCAATGTATGGAACCGGGGCATTGTGGGCATTGTGGGAGGGGCAATGTATGGATCCGGGGCATTGTGGGAGGGGCAATATATGGATCCGGGGCATTGTGGGAGGGGCAATATATGGATCCGGGGCATTGCAGGAGGGCGATATACCATGCTAGGGCAATGTATGGAACCGGGGCATTGCAGGAGGGCGAGCTACCATGCTGGGGCAATGTATGGATCCGGGGCATTGTGGGAGGGGCAATGTATGGATCCGGGGCATTGCAGGAGGGCGATATACCATGCTGGGGCAATGTATGGAATCCGGGGCATTGTGGGAGGGGCAATGTATGGATCGGGGGCATTGCAGGAGGGGCAATGTATGGATCCGGAGCAATGTATGGATCCGGGTCATTGTGGGAGGGGTAATATATGAATCGGGTCATTGTGGGAGGGCGATATACCATGCTAGGGCACTGTATGGATCAGGGGCAATGTATGGCTCGGGGGCATTGCAGGAGGGCGATATACCATGCTAGGGCAATGTATGGATCGGGGGCATTGCGGGAGGGGCAATGTATGGATCGGGGGCATTGCGGGAGGGGCAATGTATGGATCCGGGGCATTGCGGGAGGGGCAATGTATGGATCCGGGGCATTGCAGGAAGGGCAATGTATGGATCGGGGGCATTGCAGGAGGGCGATATACCATGATGGGGCAATGTATGGATCGGGGGCATTGCAGGAGGGCGATATACCATGCTAGGGCAATGTATGGATCGGGGGCATTGTGGGAGGGGCAATGTATGGATCCGGGGCATTTGGGGGAGGGCGATAGACCAACGTCCGGGTGTGATGCAGATTTTGGAATACAGGACTGCACTTCTATGAGGATTAGGTCTGTGGTCACCACTTGGGGTTCATTTCGGCTGTTACGTATGCTCTGATGGGATACAATGATGCAACATTAACGAGGGCGGGGCAATGGGGGGTTTTGGGGAATATTGGAGATGCTCCGTCATGGAGGAAATGGCTGACCTTTTTTGGTTCCCTCATTCTTCCTGCAGCCAGACATGACCTGCTACAAGGAAGAGATCTTCGGACCGGTGCTGGTTGTTTTAGAAGCCGACAACTTGGATGACGCCATTAATATTGTAAATCAAAATCCCTACGGAAACGGCACCGCCATCTTCACTACAAATGGAGCCACGGCACGGAAGTACACTCACCTGGTAGACGTGGGACAGGTGCGTACAAGCCTTGGGGATGAGAGGGGCAGTCTTCAGTCTATGTGCTGACATTTATTGTATCTTGTCCACTATTACCAAACTCCATGTTGTAACCCCCTCTCAATACCGGCATGCTGCTTCTCTAAAATATTGCAGCAAAAAAAAATCAGATCGCTTACCAAAAAATGATCATTTTGGGGGCTTTTGCACTGTCCTGACATTTTTATTTGCTATGATTTTATAAATTAAATTAAGAAAAAAAAAGTTTATTTCCACATTTTTGGGGCATTTTCTACTTTACATAGTAACTAAGGATGCACCGATACTAGTATCGGTGCCGATACCGAGTATTTGGGTGAGTACTCGTACTCGCTCAAATACCTGGCCCGATACTTCCGGCATCAGGAAGCCGGGCAGCGCATCATCGCACGCTGCCCGGTTTCCTTATTGGCCGGGAAACGGCTCCATGCTCTCTCGTCACTTGTCATTACACGCTTCCCGGCAAATCAGGAAGCCGGGTAGCGTGTAATGACTCTGCCCGGCTTCCCGATTGGTTTGAAAGCTAGCCAATCCGGGCGCCGTGTAATGACGCAGCGCCGGCATTCTGATTGGCTGGGAAGCCGGCCTCAGGCTCCCTCGTCATCTCATGAATCATAATATTAAGAAACTGACCTAAAATCATTAGTTTGTATTGCTTTAGAAAAAATGTGACCTGTCCCTTTTCAGAAAAAGCATCGGTAATTGGTATCTGCGAGTACTTGATCAAAAGTATCAGTACTCGGTCTTAAAGTGGTATCGGTGCATCCCTAATAGTAAACAATTGATATAAAAAATGGATTTTGTTCTTACTGTAAAATCCTTTTCTTGGAGTCTATTGAGGGACACGGCTCTGAAGACTTGTGAGACGTCGGGTTATGCGGCGGCCTCTAGGAGAAATGGCCATTCTTACTGGAGGCAGCAGCATAACCCGACGTCTCACGTTTTCAGAGCCGTGTCCCTCAATGGAAATGATCGCATTCTCGGTGGCCATGCTCCCGTCTTTACTCCCTCCTATTGGTTTTAGCCCCAGAAATCTGAGCGCTTTGTATTAATAATTATGTGATGTCTCTTCCAGGTGGGTGTCAATGTTCCCATCCCTGTGCCTCTGCCAATGTTCTCTTTTACTGGATCTCGAGCTTCCTTCCGCGGTGACACCAACTTCTATGGGAAGCAGGTAAGCTCAGCGTGCCTGGCACACGGCAGGACACAAATTGTTCAGGGTGTGGATTGCGTCACATGACCCTTTCTGTCCCGGGGTGGGGGGGTGGTGGTGGTGTGTATTGCGTCACATGACCCTTTCTGTCCGGGGGGTGTGTATTGCGTCACATGACCCTTTCTGTCCCAGGGGTGTGTATTGCGTCACATGACCCTTTCTGTCCCAGGGGTGTGTATTGCGTCACATGACCCTTTCTGTCCCAGGGGTGTGTATTGCGTCACATGACCCTTTCTGTCCCAGGGGTGTGGATTGCATCATATGACCCTGTGTGTGTGTGTGGTGTGTATTGCGTCACATGACCCTTTCTATCCCGGGGGTGTGGATTGCATCACATGACCCTTTCTGTCTCTTTAGGGGATTCAATTCTACACCCAAATTAAAACGGTCACCTCGCAGTGGAAGGAAGAAGATGCTACGGTGACCAGCCCTGCTGTGGTGATGCCAACAATGGGCCGTTCCTAAAAGTGGCTGACTTGTCTGTACTCTGCAGGGGCCCTGCCGAGGCTTCAGTGGAGGGCCCCACACTAAAGTGGATGTCATGGGGCCTTGTGTATCCCCTCTATGTATGACCGTGGACACTTGCTAAGGACAATATCCAAAAGTGAAAATTAAAGAATGCCGTTTTATTTCCTACACTACTGTAATCATGCCCTGCCAATAAAAGCAAACGCTTCCATTCGTGATATGGACGGAAAGTTCCAGAATTCTGCCAGAACAGGAACGTGGACTTTTGTTTTGGGTTTGGGGTAGTTTAGGGCTGTCAGGGCCGCCTGGGTGCTGAAAGGGAAATGATTGCTGGCTGTGTCCATGGAGCAGTCACAGGACCGGTGTAGAATGTCAGCTTTTCTGCCAAACAATATATCCATATAAAAAAACACACGGGACGGGGGCTCCTCATATAGATTTATTACTTAATTCCCCCCCCAAAAAATATTATTAAGGTATAAAGATGGTTTATTGATAAGGAAGTTACGGCTGGCGCAGGGCACTCAGGCCAGAGCGTGACATTTTGTCTGATGGATGTCTGGTAAAAGCCGACTTGATGCCGATTGTTCTGGAAGTTGCTGTGTGATGAAGATTGTCTGCTCTGTTGTCTCTGCCGGGGGGCTGGAGGTAAAACAAAGGTCATTATTTGTAAAGTACCCCCAGAACTGCACCCCTTCCCCCCCCGTATATACACTGAAGGGGGACAACCAATTACAATGTGGTCCCTGAATCTTTCTACTCATCAATAAGTAGAGACGTGTAGAGTGCACGTGGCGATCAAACCTTTCCAGCATGCTAGTGTAGGTCTCAGAGAGGAGACATTCCCAGTGGGGCCCAGTATAATAGATGTGAGAGGGGCAGCCATTACCATCTGGGCCCAATATACCAGCATATAGGTCTGAGATGGGGGAGACAGTGGCAGCGGGGCCCAATATACCAGCATATAGGTCTGAGATGGGGAGACGGTCACAGCGGGGCCCAATATACCAGCATATAGGTCTGAGATGGGGAGACGGCGGGGCCCAATATACCAGCATCGAGGTCGGATTCCACTCATACCTTTCCTTTTCAGTTAGCTGGACGTGGTTCCTATCACATCTTACCTGGAATGAAGTTCTCTATTTGTAGAAGACACTACGGCTTGTACAGCGCGCACCTTGTTCCTGACATGAGAAAGAAACAGTCAGCACAAATTCAGAA